AGGCCATATTAGTAGTTTTAGTATTGCAGTACCTCTAAGCTAACCATTATGGAAGGACTTCTAGATATCTGCTCCATTATATCTGCCATACGTAAGGTTGCTTGTCTAAACCTCTTCAAAATCCTACGATTAGTTTTGTCAAAATTTTACTATAGATTTATTATAGTTTCGGCAGAGTTTCGGCAGTTTCAGCATTTATAATAAGTTTCGGCAGTTTCGCCTTTCTCCAAAGTTTCACCAGTTTTTTGATATAACTTTAATATAGTTTTGGCAGAATTTCGCTTTTCGGTGAAATGCCATCTTGCCTAAACCCTTAGGTTTCGGCAAGCAACTTTAGCCATACGTGGGTGGTTGCTTACTTCTGACGGGCGCTAGTGGGTAGCATAACTGTGTCAGAAACCCTGCTACACTACGATCATCCTTGTGTGGGTATAAACTTGGGTCGTCTTTCTAGTGTGGTATATAGGGGTAAAGGGGATGAACATCTGGTTACTTCTAAATAATTAGAGTAGGTTGCTTGGTTATCTGTTGCTTAACGGTAGGAGTATATTACTGCAACTAGGGATGGGCGTTAATTAACCATGGTTAATTAACTATGGTTAATTAACCGTTAATTATGTTACTTATAATTAGTTTAAAATGGTTAATTAACCTTTACTTTAAATCAACCAATAAAAATGCAGAATTTAAGTCATGTGATTTTAATTATAATTTGATAATTATTGGTAAAAAATGGTATAGTCTGTAATAGTGATAATAGTACTATACTTGAATTTGAATCAAATGTAATAAGTTTAGATGATGAAGAATAAATAAAATATATAAGATTTATTATAATCATTTTAATAAATAAATAAATTTCATTGTTTTATTTTATTATTTATAAAAAATTAATATATTAGTTAACTATAAGTTAATTAACCGTTAATTAACCGTTAATTAACCAGTTAATTAACCAAATTTATAATTAACCGTTACTTTCCCATCCCTAACTGCAACTGGTGTTGTAATGCTTCCTCCACGTAGCTTTGGTAAGCCGGCTATACTAATATCTGTCTCTTATACACATCTAGATGTGTATAAGAGACAGATCTTACTGTAAATAATATTATAAAAAGATATAAAAAACAGATTTTGCAATATTTAGTTATATTAAAACTTTTATTTAATATAATAAATAAATTTTACAATGTATTATTTGCAATAATCAATTTTTTTCTTTAGTAATGTTATAAGTAAACTAAACTCTAACTTTAATATCATATTACATAATAATATAATAAGAAAATACTTTATAATAAAGGTTTTAATAGTTATATTTATATATGAAACTGAAATTAAAATCTAAAAGTCAAAATATTTTGGTCTAAAAGGCTTAAAAATTAAAATTAAAGTCAAAATTAAGGTTATTTGCCAAAACTAGAGGATTTTCATTGGTAAAAAAATGATCTATCCTACACATATCTTACACATATCTTATATATATCAGGTATTTAAAATGTAGAAAATCTTATACAAATAATACACATATTATATACATATCAAATATTTATATATATCATATATATCTATCAGGTATCTAATATGTATATGATATATATATAAGTATCTATACTTGTAGCCGAAATCCCTCTAGTTTCGGCCTAGTTTCGGTTTCGAGTTTCGGACAGTATTGGTATTCAAAAACTGCTTTCCGAAATTGAAACCCCTAGCCGAAATCCGAAACTATGTCCGAAACCTATTATTATAAGTCTGAAACCTAAAAATAGAAATATTGATGATTGATCATTAAATCGATCAACTGATCGATCTAAAATCTAAATCTACATAAAAATTTTCTCACGAAACATTTTTTTTTGTAGTTTGTCATTTGTCCTATAACCTATAAACCCACATACTTTCTTTATTTTCTACAGTCTTTTTTTCTTTTACTCATCTTTTCCACCTTATTCTCTTATAATAAACAGTTAAACACTATAACTGTATAACAATATAACCTATTAAAAATTTTAAATAAATGTCATCCAGTTCTTTAAGGAAAGTAGGCGGGCGTCCTATTAGTAAGATATGGGAGTGGTTTGTAAAAGGTGATCTAGTGCCTAATTCTAAAGGATATTATTCAGCGACGTGCTCATTTTGTGAATATCATTGGTTTACAGTTAAGGTGGCAAAACTTAAGAAACATCTCGCATATGAATGTACCAAAGTTGATTCTGATACCAAAATCAGCATTTTAATGATGCTAACTAATAACTGTGATGATTCAGAAGATTATAGTTATGATACTTCTACAACGTCAACCACTAAATCTAAGAAACTAAAATCAAATGATAGATCACAAACTCATATTGATGACCATTATGAAAATTTTCCTACTCTACTGGGTAAAGAAGATCAAATTAACAAAGCATTGGCTAAAATGTTTGTATGTTGCAACTTACCGTTTGCTCTTATTGATCATCCTTTTTTTATCTAATTTGTTAAAACTTTATGTGCTACCTATAATCTTCCAAGCCTTTTGTTCCTAACAGAAACTCTTATTATTCAAGAAATTTCTAGAATTAACCTCAAAGTAAACAGAATAATTAATGAAGAGAATAATATGACCATTGCTTTTGATGGATGGACCAACCCCACTGGACAATCAATATATGATTATTGTTTGATTACTGAAGATCGTAAAGAATATTTATGGTGTTCAAAGGATTATTCTAATGTTCCTCATCACACTGGTGCATTTCTTGAAGACGAAATTCTTAAAATTGTGGATAATATTGGACCTGAAAGATTGGCAGCTGTAGTTTCAGATAATGCACCAAATGCGTGTGTTGCACAAAGAATTCTTTGTGCAAAATATTCTCACATTTTAAATATCCGTTGTATGGCTCATTGCATTAACTTGATTACAAAGGTCTTGTGTAAACATTCATTTGTTGTAGATACAATTCGAAAAGTTGGCATTGTTCACCAGTATTTTACAATGTCTCATGCTCCATACCAATTCCTTAAAGATTCTGTCAAAATTTTACAAATTAAAGGAGAAGGATTAAAAAGTTATACAAAGACACGGTGGTCTACAATGTGGGATTGTGTTAGCTCTATTGTAAGACTTGAACTTGCCTTTGCAAGGGTAAGTGATTAATTAATGTAATTTATGAATTATGGTTTTATAATTTATTAAGATATTTATTTTATTATTATAATATTATATTATTTATTTAGGTTCTTTCGGAACATGAAAATGATATTAAAAATCTGGTAAAAGATATTCTTCATGATTGAAATTTTTATGAAAATTGTCGAATAATTGCATCTATTCTTCATCCTCTTAAGGTGACTGTAGGATGCCTAGAGTCAAGAACTTCAATGCTTGCATACTGTTATGTTCATTTATTGTTATTATCATGTGCTATTTATCGAATGTCAAACCAAAACATTCAATTTAAAAATCATTGTATAATTAAATTTAACGAAAGATTTCATGAATTTTCTGATGATCTTTTTCTATTGGCTTTTTTTTGCATCCTCATTATCATGGTAAGTTGAGATTCAAAATTTGGTATTTAAATTAATTAATTTAATATTTTAACATAATTTATCATTTTATTTTAGGAAATGGAATAAATCTGAATCAATTTCATAATATCACTCTCAAAGCAGCTCAGATTTGTAAGGATATGGGCCATAATCAATACTCATGTGCAAAGCTACTTACTCAACTGCGAAAATATATGAAAAAGAAAACGCCATTTAACCAAAATTATAATTATAAATCAGATACACCTACTATTTGGTGGGAGACAGCTCAAAATTCAAAAAAAGAATGGGAGTTACAAGCTTTGGCACTTCGACTGTTTGCCGTATCTTCATATAGTGCTTTTTGTGAGCGCTCATTTTCAGTTTTAGAGTGGTTTTATAGTCAAAGACGTACAAAATTAGCTGCAGATCGGGTAGAAGGCATGTGCAAATTGCATACTTATTACATTACAAATGCCAAACGTGAATTACCTTACTATGCTATTGATACTTCAGAAAATTCTATGCGCGAAAAAATGATTAATACTATTGTTGAAATTAGCTATGAGTTGGAAGTCAATGATTTTGATTTTTTATATAATGAAAATATAATTGATATGGTTATTGATATGTCACAATCATATGATCTAGATGTTACTTTAAATATAGATATTGAATCTCAGATTTTTAATATGGAACGAAGAGAACCTGAGAATAAGGTAACAGTCGATCAAAATAGACAAACTGTTGTATTGGCTCCAGAACGTGAAGATTTTGATATTGAGGCATTAATAGCCAAAGAAATTGATGATAATGAAAACTGATTTTTTTTAAATTTTTTTTTTTTTTTTTGCAATTTAACATTTTAGCGTAATAATAATAATAATATAAAATGGTAATGATTATAAATTTATAATAATGATAATAAAATTTAAATAATATAATATAAAAAATAAATAAATGCCAATTTTTTATAATAAAATAAGTAAATACATAATAAAAAATGGTTTCGGACTTTCGGCCTATAGTTTCAGCCTATATAAAGTTTCGGCTATAGTTTCGGATTTTAGCACCAGTTTCGGACTTGGGTTTCAGAATTTCAGATTCGGCTACACCTCTGGAAGGTTTCGGCCACAAGTATATAAGTATCTAATATATACAGTCACCCTCTTTACAGCGAACCTCGATATAGCGAATAACACAATATAACAGATTATCTGTGTGGTACCAATTTTAAATATGAAAAAAATCTTGATATAACAAAGTTTACTATTTATTTACTGTATAATGTAATATGAAGTAAAGTATATGAATTGTCATATACAAAATGAACCTTTTTATAACGAATTTTTTTTATACCAAATTTTTTTTTTAGTAAAATGAATTATTAAATTTTCTTAAAGTAAATTTGCTTTACACATTTACTACATGTTTCACCTATATTGTTTTTATACTAAATATTAATAAAACACTCTTGAAATCGCCTAGAAGCTATAACCAAATAGTCTGTTCCTACAAAAATAAAAAAAAAATCGTTAGCAAAATGTTCTTATACTAAATTATCAAACACAATACTCTCCTTATGACCTACCTTTGAAATCGCCTAAGAATCATGCCAAATGGTTCATTCCTACAAAAAATAAAAAAGGAAAAACGTTAATAAAATGTTCTTATACCAATATACTAAACAAGGATCCCACTTACTTATAATAAAGGTCACTGTAGAAAATTGGCCATTTACTAATAGTTTTTACTTTACTTTTTTCTTAAATTCTATTGGTTAATTAGCTAAAAAGGAAAAAAATCATAATAATGTAACATAAGATTTCCTTTTATAATAGAATCTGCAAAGAATTTTATATATGATTTTTACCTTAGGTCTGAAGGTGACCTATCTTATAAGTAAGTAGGATCCTACTAAACACTATCACTACACTACTTCACTCACCTTTAGGAGCTGTACCAAATGGTTCATTCCTACGAAAATAAAAAAAAAAGAACGTTAGCAAAATGTTCTTATACTAAATTATCAAACACAATACTTCCACTCATAACCCACCTTTGAAATCGCCTAGGAATCATGCCAAATAGTTCGTTTCTACAAAAAATAAAAAAAGAAGAACATTAATAAAATGTTCTTATACTTAGTATTCCGCATGAATTGATTCGTGACATGATGTGATCCTGATCACTCCTGAATAATAAAAACGTATTTTGCGAATAATTTTTGATCTAGCAGTCTGATTTCGATAATCTTTTTTTATTTTGATCAGGGCAACGAGACCTATCGATTAAAAAAATGATCATTGAAATTGGATCACTACTCACTAGATCTTGAGATAATAATTTTTGGAGGTCAAATCAAGTCCAAATCAAGTCTGAATCGAATCGAATTTCAGAGGAGAAATTTGATTCATGCGGAACACTACTTATACTAATATATTAAATACTACCACTATACTACCCCACTCACCTTTAGAAGCTGTACCAAATGGTTCGTTTCTACAAAAATAAAAAAAAAGAACATTAGCAAACTGCTCTTATACAGTTATACTAAATTATCAAACACAATACTCCCACCCATAACCCACCTTTAAAATCGCCTAGAAATAGGGATGGTAAAGTCCTAGGTCCTGGACCTAAAGACCTGGTCCTAGGACCTGGTCTGCAGATCTTTAGGTCCAAATTTTGGACCAGAAGCGGACCAGGTCCTAAAAAGTCCTAGCCAATAAGGTTATAAGAGATCTATATGTTTAAATTATATATGTATAATTTGCTGTAAATTTGATTTTAAGTAATTATAAATTATAAAAAAGTGCACTGCAATATTGCAATACAATTTTTATATTATTAAAATCATATAAAAAATGAGTTGCGATATTGCGATTCACATTTTTATATTAAAATCAATATAAAAAAGTGAATCGCGATACCGCAACTCACTTTTTTTATATAAAATCAATATAAAAAAGTGAATCGCGATACCGCAACTCACTTTTTTTATATAAAATCAATATAAAAAAGTGAATCCCGATACCGCAACTCACTTTTTTTATATAAAATCAATATAAAAAAGTGAATCCCGATACCGCAACTCACTTTTTTTATATAAAATCAATATAAAAAAGTGAATCCCGATATCGCAACTCACTTTTTTTATATTTAATTATTACTAAAATTCATAAAATCTATAAATAACTTAGTCAGGACCAGGTCCTGGGACCAGGTCCAGGACTGGTCCTAACAGGACCTGGTCCACAGGTCCGTTCAATAGGACTTATAGGTCCCAGGACCAGGACCGGACCAGGACCGACCTAACCATCCCTACCTAGAAATTATGCCAAATGGTTCGTTCCTACAAAAAATAAAAAAAAGAACGTTAATAAAATGTTCTTATACCAATATATTAAACACTCGGCTACCACTACACTACCTCACTTACCTTTAGAAGCTATGTCAAATGGTTCGTTTCTACAAAAATAAAAAAAAGAACGTTAGCAAAATGTTCTTATATTAAATTATCAAATACAATACTCCCATCCATAACCCACCTTTGAAATCGCCTAGAAGCCGTGCCAAATGGTTCATTCCTACAAAAAATAAAAAAAATGTTAATTAAACATTTTTATACTAATTTACTAAACAATACCATTACACTACCCCACCCACCTTTGAAATTGCCTAGGAGTTGTAGCCAAAAGGTCCGTTTATACAAAAATAATAAACAATTGGTTAGTATATTAAAAATAAAAAAAATTTTTTATAAAAAATTGATCGGATCAGCGAATCACATAATTCACATATTCATACCAAAAAATTCATTATAGCATTAACGAATTTACTTATAACAAAGCCCTGATCGGCTGAAATATAGAGTTCGTTATATTGAAAGGAAACTGTATATGATATGTGTATTATTTGTGTAAAATTTTTTACATTTTGAGTATCTAATATGTAGTATAAAATATGTGTAAAATAAATCATTTTTTTACCAGTGTTCGGTAGAATGATGTACAAGAAACTGCTAAAATTAGTTTTGCAAAATTATTAAGAAATTCTGAAACTGCAAAACCTATTAAAATTGTGAAACTGCCATAATTTGTCAAAACTATTTTAATGTTTCAGCAATACTTTCTATATGATTTAATTAAAGTTTCAGCATTTAAATAATTTATAAGAATAGAGACAATATGATTTTTTGTATGTAAATATTTAAAATAACTTTTTTCTTTATTTTAATTTTATAATATTTAATAATTCATTTTTTATTTCCTAATTAAACTAATAAAATATATGATTAATAATATAATAAAAATTAAAATTTAATATTTGTATTTTCTATATGAAGATTTACTTCTACTTCTTCTTCTATCTCTACTTCTATTTCATCTTCTATCTCTACTTTTGTCTTGTCTTCTATTTCTACTTTTACTTCTACTTTTTAATCAAGACCTAGATCACAACTTTCTTCTTTCCCTTCACAATCTATATTCATATTAATCATATGGGCTGATTTGTCTACCTTTAATTAAAATATTGATTTTATTACATTTTTATTATACAAAATACTATATAATATACAGTAAATTGGGGATGAGTATTAAAAAATTTTTATTTAATGTTATTATACTATAATTTGGTAAATATTTCTTTTAAATTAATATAATTCTTAGCACTTACTATATATGTTAAAAATTTGTATTTCAACTTTAAACGTAAATATCTCCAGATCCAGTGATCCAATCGGCAAGCTCTTTTTTCGTTCATATAGACCAGATCAAGGGCTTTCCAAAGAGCCTAAATTTATAAAAAATGGATTAGTGGATCCCAAGATATTTGCATTTAAGTATGTTAAAAAGTTCGTACCTCAACTTTAAATGTAAATATCTCTGGATCTAATGATTCAATCGGCGAGTTCTTTTTTCGCCTATAAAGTCCAGAACAAGGGCTTTTCAACGAGCCTAAAATTATAGAAAACGGATCAGTGAATCTTGATATATTTGCATTTAAAGATAGTAATACAAACTCTGACATAAAATAATTATTTTTATTGTTTAAAAATATCTATTATGATACCATCTTTTATATGATATTTTTATTATATTTTTATAAACATTTATAGCTGCTAAGACTATATAAATTTTTATTTTACTTTATATTTTATTAAAATATACTTACTTTTTAATAATATATGTTAAAAATTCCATATATATAAGAAATGGGTTTTTTATTAGTGAAATGGGTTTTTTCACAGCTTTTTTACATTTAATAATTTAAGTTTCGCAAATGTAAATTTTTGTTCAACTTATTATTTAGTCAAGTGATCATCAATCAGATGATTTTTTGGTATTACAAAACAATTTTGAGTAACAAAAATTATGAAAATCAATTTAATAACTCCTTTTAATGCAGAGTAAACAAATCAGCCCATATGTATTGTTTATGTGCAGCATGCTACCATTAATACTCTTGTCTAAACAGATCTAAAATCTAATAAAAATATTAATGAATTGAATGAATTGCCTAAATAAAATTAATTTAAAATAATAATTAATAATAATTATCAGTTTGTAACTAAAATTCATCATTTATATCAGTGAAACACGCTTTATCAAAACTATTTAGATTTGCAATAGGAATGATATATAGTATAAGAAGTATAAGATATGATACACATATAACATTACATTTTATTCATTTTACTTACTCTTTTCTTTCTTCTTTTTTTATATATATTGTTATTATTCGTCATTACTAAGGTGCTGGAGAAATTAGGGGGTTTTGGCAAGTTGGCGAAATGCCGAAATGCCAAAACTTTGCTGAAACTATATGAAAGTCTTATTAAAAAGTTGGTGAAACTCTAAAGAAAAGCGAAATCTAACGAAACTTATTATAAATGCTGAAACTGCCAAAACCTTGCTGAAACTATAATAAAACTATAGTAAAATTTTGGAGAAACTAATCGTAGAATTTTGGAGAAGTTTAGCCAAGTAACCTTAGTCATTATAGTCAAACTTCAATGTACTGATACTCTATATACTGATAATTGCTTTATTAATAAATTTTTGTTATCCTGTTTTATCAATCTCATTATACTGATATTATATATAATTTCGCAATGTAATATATACTAATATAATCTTCTAATTCCTTTATAGTAATATATATTAAGATGTACTGATAATTTTGGTTACACTAGTGTTAATTCTGGCCAGTACTATAAGTTTGGCTTGAGTTAAAAAACTGTAACTTTAAAATTTAAGCATCTTTCTTAATTATATTTGAAATTGGATTTTTTTCTATAATTATATCCATATTATATATAATATATTTAAGAAATTTTAGAAATTTTGGACTTGGAATTAAGTATAGTGTAAACCAAAATTAGATTTTAGCCTATATTATACATATGGGCTGATTTGTCTACTCTGCATTAAAAAAAGTTATTGATTGATTTTCACAATTTTTGTTACTCAAAATTGTTTTGTAATACCAAAAAATCATCTGATTGATGATCACTTGACTAAATAATAAGTTGAACAAAAATTTACATTTGCAAAACTTAAATTATTAAATGTAAAAGAGCTGTGAAAAAACCCATTTTACTAATAAAAAACCCATTTCTCATATATATGGAATTTTTAATATATATTATTAAAAAGTAAGTATATTTTAATAAAATATAAAGTAAAATAAAAATTTATATAGCCTTAGTAGCTATAAATGTTTATAAAAGTATAATAAAAATATCATATAAAAGATGGTATCATAATAAATATTTTCAAATAATAAAAATAATTATTTTATGTCAGAGTTTGTATTACCATCTTTAAATGCAAATATATCAAGATTTACTGATCTGTTTTCTATAATTTTAGGCTCGTTGGAAAGCCCTTATTCTGGACTTTATAGGCAAAAATATGCGTCGCCGATTGAATCATTAGATCCAGAGATATTTACGTTTAAAGTTGAGGTACAAACTTTTTAACATGCTTAAATGCAAATATCTTGGGATTCACTGATCCATTTTTTATAAATTTAAGCTCTTTGGAAAGCCTTTGATCTGGTCTATATGAACGAAAAAAGAGCTTGTCAATTGGATCACTGGATCTGAAGATATTTACGTTTTAAGTTGAGATACAAATTTTTAATATATATAGTAAGTGCTAAGAATTATATTAATTTAAAAGAAATATTTATCAAATTATAGTATAATNAGTGCTAAGAATTATATTAATTTAAAAGAAATATTTATCAAATTATAGTATAATAATATTAAATAAAATTTTTTTAATACTCATTTCCAATTTACTGTATATTATATAGTATTTTGTATAATAAAAATGTAATAAAATTAATATTTTAATTAAAGGTAAACAAATCAGCCCATATGAATCTATTAATTACATATATGTACTGATATTTTGATGTACTAATACTTTTTCTTCAAACTGGAAGCATTGGTATATTAAAGTTTGACTGTATTATTATTCCTTATTATTATCATAATTATCATCATTATTATTACCATTACCTATACCTAATACATTATCTATATCATAATTATAGTCACCTTTTCCAGCTTTCTTATTATTATCACTATCATCAACTTCATTACCTTTCACATTATTTTTATCTGAATCATCCAATATATCTCTTGAAATATACAGTCAACTCTTAATATAACGAAGTTGGCATTCAGGCTGATCAGGCCTTTGTTATATGAATATTCGTTAATATGGTAGGAAAATCTAGTATAATTCAGAAATTTTTTGTATATTATGGTATATTGTCATATAATAATTATATCTTATAATGCAAAAATGCAAGTTATACAAAATATCTTCATTATATTAAAAAAAATTCGTTATAAAAGAAAATTCATTATTAAAAGAAGCATTTTTTATATACGGTTTATAAATTTTACTTCGTTAAACAGTATACAGCATTTAATTAGTAAAATTCAATATAATGAGATTTTTTTCATATGTTAAAATCTGTACCATACTGAAGTATACATGCCACCCAAATTATTTTGGACTGCCGTAATTATAAGTAAAATCCCAAATTTAATTATGGCATCCCAAATTATTTTGGCACTTTACATAGTAAATTATATATAAACTGAATGAATTACGGCATCCCAAATTATAATTATGATATCCCAAAGTAATTTGGGCAGCATGTATATACTGAAGATCCGTTATATTATAAAATTTGTTATATCAAAATTTGTTATAAGAAGAGTTGATTGTAACCAATTTCACTAGTAATTGAATCATACAATAAATTAATAATTGATTAATTCATAGATTTTCGATTATTACATAGCAATTATTTTTGGGTATTATTTTGCCGCTTATAGTTAATTTCTGAGTAAAAGCTTATTCTTCATTATATTTCTCATTATCATCTTTTGCAAAAGCTTCTGCAATACATATATTGATTTATTATTATTAAGACAAGTATTCTTTTTTGATCAATTCCATAAAATCCAAATTCAATTTTTGAATTGGATTTCTAATACAAAATTAATTTGCATATGGATTTCAGTTTATTCACAATATATATATATATATATATTAAGATGTAAGTGATATTTATGAAATAACTATCATAAAGTTGAAAATCCACGTTTATAAGTTGCTGAATTAGGATATATTGCAAATAAATAATTTGCAATTCTTGGTTCTGATTCAGTATTAATATATTTTTACTAATTTGTGGGATTATCCTTAGAAAAACTGATATCTAGGTCAAATGGCTTTTGCTCATTAACTGTTAATATATTTCTGTATTTGATTACATAAAGTTTTAATTTCATAATATTCAAAACCTAAATTTTTCCTGATTGAAGCTGCACATTTAATAATTCTTATAAGGACGCATTTTTTAAGTGGCATGTTTCTAAATCTGGAATCTATAAAAAAATAAGTAATATACTTATTATTATTAATTTAATTAAATCTTTTATTTATTACTTTAATACAATGACTTTAGAATGTAGGATTTAATGATTTGGGTAACTTTTTAATGTAGTTACAAGTCTTGCCAAGCTTAAAAAACAATCTGTAAGTGTAGCTCTTCTTGAATTTAATGAAAGTACTGCTTTTTTTAGAGAACCCAGAACAAATCCAAGAACTCATAAATTTGAAAAAAAATTTTAATTGAATAATTAGTTTTATTTTATTATTTATTAGCATTTTATCGTGATTACTAATCATTTTTTTTAGTGCTAATTTTAAATTTATTACTGAATTTACAGATTCACTAGCAGTAGTTTAGCATGTCATGCAATATAATTTTAATTCTTCTTCACTAATTCTTTTTTTTTAATTATTTGGACAAGTTTTACATTAGCTTGATAAATATTTTCCAAACTTTTTCTTAACAATGTTACATGCAATTAAATTGATAGAATTTACTATGTATTGCATATTCTTAATCTTTGAATGATTCTTATGTATAATTTTTTATGCATTATGAATATTAGCTGTATTATCATATACTACAGCATATATTCAATTTTTTCCAATATCTTTTATAACTTTTTTAATTACCATAATTAAATATTCTGCAGTGTGCAAATTTTCTAACAAATTAGAAAGTTGATAAAGATATTCTTTACGTGATGAAGTTATTATAATAAAGTTCCAAATTGAATGATATGTACCAGACATTTAACCATTAAATGCTAAATTATAAATTAATATTATATAATAAGTAAGATTAAATAAAAATCACATATGATAGTCTATTTAATTTAATAAATCTAATGTTAAATTTATTTCCTTTTCAAGCTTAAAATTAACTTTGAAGTTTACTTAAACTAATTCACATTCAAGTAGTTGATTTACTAATACTTTCTATAGTTGTATCAGTAATTATTTTTTAAATTTCATATTCCAAAATTACGTTACGTAAATATAATTATGAATTACTTAATTAGTTATGAGTTAATTAATTACAGGTTATTTAATTAATTATGGGTTACTTAATTAATTACGGGTTATTTAATTAATTATGAGTTATTT